TGGGGTCAAATTGGGCACAATTCCTACACTGTGTCTCCAGTGTTGTCCCCTGTAGGGCTATGGATCAGTGAGGGATGTCGTGTCTTGTAGTGGGGCCAGCCCTATGGTCCTCTCTGTGCATTGGCTTCTTTGAGCAGGGATATCGTTCTCAAGGCTTGGTGGGCCAGGATGTGCTCCAGTCTCTCTTCCTCCCCCTTCATTTGCTCCAAAGAGCTTTTGTTTATGTGGGTTATGTCTACGGATGGTTTCTAGATTATTTAAAGAAGATATTAATGAATTTACTGACAAATAACAATAAGACTGTTGACTATCACTCTATTTATATTTATTTGTAAATGAAAATCAGCTATCTATCCAAACCAAACAAACCATCAGTGCAAGACAGTGGTGTGGTTTCAGAATTTTGCAAATCATCAAAATGTCAGGCTTAATATAAAAGCTGGTTTCTCTGGTCTGATTCTGCATCAATCTGTTGTCTCAGAGTTTGTGTATCATGTTTCCCGTGGTTGTCATTCATAAATGATTACCAACTTGGTGTCTTAAAAAAAGGCATTTGGCTCTCTCACAGTTATTGAGCCTAGAGGTTCAACAGCAGCTCCTCTGGGCTAAACTCAGAAGATTGGTAGAGCTGAACATCCTGGAAAGGAGCCCAGGTGATGTAGTGGTTGGCCAGCAGTTTGAAACCACCAGCAGTTTCGTGGGAGAAAGACCGGGCCTTTTACTCCTGTAAACAGATACAGTCTCGGAGACCCATAGGGGGTGGGGATGAGTCAGCATTGACCTGATGGCCCTGAGTCCACTCTCCGAAGGAACCCTGGTGGTGTCTGGGGCTAAGTGGTAGGCGGCTAGCCACGAGGTCAGTATTTGAAACCACCAGCCCTCTGTAGGAGAAACGTGAGACCTTCTACTCCCTAAAGAGCTACAGTCTGGAAAATAACGCCCCAAGGGCAGTTCTACCCTGTCCTATAGGGGCCACTAGGAGTCAGGCTCACACAATGACAGTGACTTGTGGCTTTGCGTGGATGCCTTGAAGGCTCAAGCAAAGAATCCTTTCCTGGCCTTTTCCGCTTTCTGGTGGCTGGTGGCTTGCGGCCTCATTCCTCCAACCTGTGCCTTTACCTTTCAGGGTCTTCTCTTCTGTATGTATTGACTACGGTTCTCCCTTGCTGTCATTTTATTAAATACACAAACCCACTTGTGATACTTTTTATGAAAGAGTCTCTAGAAGATTCCTGATCAAAGGAGGGGAAACGCAGAACGGACTTTCACATTTCCACAGGATCCAGACTTTCTGGAGGCATGGTAGCTGGATGAATCCATAAAATGATTGTACTGAGATGATCTGTAAGTCCTAAAACCAAAAAGTATCTCCGCCCAGTGGGTGGTGGGCTCTGGATTTCAGGCTCTCTTCACCCCCATAGGCCCTTCCTCCTTTTTGCACTCAATCTGACAAACCCCACCGGGTAGCAGACAGTGAAGGATGAACCGACGCGGACGTCCCTAAAACGGGAATCCAGGAATGTGGGTTTATCTCCGGTGGCATGGCAGCTAATGGGAGAGACTGGCAGGTGGGGGGTGGGGGTGTAGGGATTGTAAAAGGCAGGCACCCCGAGAGCTTCTACGAGAGAATGCCGAGGTGCCACCCGGGTCTGCGTTGGGAACCCCAAATGTCCGACCCTTCTACCTTTTTCACGGCCGGGGACCGGCGTCCGCCAGGGCGGGCCAGCGGGGTTTTCTTCGCGGACTCTGGCGCCCCCCGGCGGTTGCTCTGGACAGCGGCGTGGTCTTGTTCACGCACGACGCCAATAAAGTTTTCTTCTTCAAACAAACCGGAAGTGCCTCCGGAAGCCGGGTGGGCGACGGCGGCAGCTGCGGCCGGGTATGAGGCCGGGCGGTGAGCGCGAAGGCGAAGGCGAGGGCGGCGATGAGCGACATAGTGGAGAAGACCTTGACGGCGCTGCCCGGGCTCTTTCTGCAGAGCCAGCTGGGCGGCGGGCCCGCGGCCGCCAAGGCGTCCTTCTCCTCGCGGTTGGGTAGCCTGGTCCGTAGCATCACCCTGCTCACCTCCAAGCACGTAGGTGCCAGCCGGGCCGAGAGGCCAGGGGTGCCGGGGCGCGGCTCCCACGCCGGGAAACCCTCGACTGGGCAGTGGGGTCCGGGGGCCTTCGGGGACGACCCTCTCACGGGGTTCGGTGGGAGCTTTTTTATCCTTCCCGCTGCCGCTCCTGCCGGGACGGATAACAGGGAGGAAGGGCTTCCGTTTCCGTGGCTGGCGCTGCTGAGGTCAGCCCTCGGTGCACCTTTTCAGCGCAGAGGGATAGGTGAGGTGCAGGCGGTGACCGTGCCAAGTGCGACAGCGCCGGGCGATCACCTACAAGGGTCCCCGACTCCGTTTCGCTCGCCCCTGTTCCTTCAGCTCCTGGAGGTCAGACACCTGATCAGATCCTGCCGCCTGAACTTGTGACTGGACACTGTTGGGGAGCTTTTAGGTTCTTTGGGTAGACCAGTGTTTCACAAATTGAGGGGCACCGCGCCCTGGGGTGGGGGGGACTGGAACGATCCCGGTGTGTGTATGTGTTGTGTGTGTGTGTGGGGGGGCTGTTGGGGGGAGTGGGGACTGCAAAGACTGATAATTACACTTTATCCTACATTGTGGGCTATAGTACTAAAGTTTTTAACTGCCGAGTGGGGGGCTGATGAATTTATTTTTCTGTAAAAGGGTCAGCAGGCCAAGTGAGTTTGGGAACCTATGACTTCCAAGGGTCCTCAAGCTTTTTAAACAAGGGGCTAGTTCACTGTCCCTCAGACCCGTTGGAGGGCTGGACTGTAGTTTACAAAAAAAACTATGAACAAATTCATATGCACACTGCGAACAAATTCATATGCACACTGCACATATCTTATTTTGAAGTAAAAAAATAAAAGGGGGCAAAAACACCCGGCGGGCCGCATGTGGCCATAGTTTGAGGACCCATGGAACTTAGACCAACAAGTTGGACAGAAAAAAGTGTAACTCTCCCCCAAGGTAACATTTGCGGAGTAAGTTTCCACCTCTGACCGTCTTTGCGAACGAGCAGTTGTAATAGATAGTTATTAAATTGCTGTAGGCATTTTAAAGGAGGCCCGATGACCGTTCCGTGGGAGAAAGATGAGGCTGGCTGCTCCTGTGAAGACTTAGAGCCTTGGGAGGAACCCCTTCCAGTGTCTCCAAGAGTCGTATTAACTCTATGACAGTGGGTTGGGAAAGATTTCTTTTTTCCCAGATTAAAAAAATTTGAGTTTTCGGTGAAAAAAATTACCAAGCAAATTAGGTTCCTATCCAACAATTTCTGCATAGTTTGTTCAGGGACGTTGGTCACATTTTTCACAGTGGGTCAAGTCTCTCGTTATTTCTCTGGGTGGTTGGTTCCAGTACTCCCGTTTTCCTGTTTGGTTGCCTTCTCATCTTTGTTTTTGAGCAAATGTTGATTCTTTGGCCACTTGGACAGGAGACGGGTTTTTAAAGGAGCACAGGACTCACGGATGATACTGCTTATTTCATGAGCCAATCTGTTAATTTAGCCAAAAGCTCACCTCACAGAATAGTTTTGGTTCAAGATTTCAAGAGCACCTCACGGCTATAGTCTTGGAGAGTCCTCTGGTTTCAGTCAGTCCAGTGAGTCCAGCTTTGTAAGGATTTTACTCCTGTTCCACCTTCCGCTTCCATTCTCCCAGGATCCGTGTATTGTGTTGCTGATCGGACAGGTGGGAGCTGGGCACCATCTAGTTGTTCTGGTCTTGTAGTTCATGGAGACTATTGTCCTGTGCACTAGTTTCTTTGGGGCTTTCTTTTCAGTCCTCACTCATAGAGACTATAACTCATTCCTCACTTATCTGCATGGTTAGGTTCCAAAGAGCTGATTGTTATGTGAAAATCAGGGTTGTGGGAAAATGAAGGATGACCACATCAGGTCACAGAATGGAGTAGACGACTTAGTTGCCTAACTGCCAAATTACATCGTTACATGATTGCCAAATCACTAAGCATCATGGCCCAACCACTTGGACACCTAATCCTAACCAGCACAGCGACAACGATGTCACTCTCACCTCACACCTCAGTGTTCACTACAGCCAAGCACACGTCATTAGTAGGCGGATAGTAGTTTTTACTATTGTTGTCCATGCAAAATGTCAGATAATGAGATCATCAATAAGTGAGGAGTAATTGTAGTTTTATCTTGGAATTGTTACATAGTTTTGAAGTTACATGGACTGTGTAAGATATTGATTCAAAGCGCCAGTCTTATGACTTTATGCCGTTATTTGTCCCATACATTAAAAAATCCATTATCGAATGTAAAATTGATTGTTTTTAGAATATGCATGGGCAAGCATACAGCAATTGAAGTGTTTACGTGTACAACTCAGTGTCATTGATTTTATTCTTCAAGTTGTGCAGTTCTCGCTCTGCTTATCTGAGTTTTTCCTCCTCCATTATCATAGACTGTTGGCCCTTAAGGTTTCTTGTGGGGTGAAGGGGGAGAGGGGACCCCACAAATCATCACAGGTCTGGTAGGCACAATTGTACAGCGATAATAAGTAAGGATTATAGTAAAGTCATAGAGAGCATGAGAGAGGAGAGATGGGAATAATTGGAGTCAGATACAATTCATGGTAGTATTGCTCACCTCAGCCCCTCTTGATGGTCCTCGTGGGAGGAACCTGGCCACAAGAGCAGGAGCAGCCTCGGGGACCGAGAACCAGGGAGCCTCTAGGCCCCCGAGAGCTGGAGAGAGCTCCTGGTCCCCGGGAGCCGGAGAGAGCCTTTCTTTATTACTAACCAATCGTTATATCACTTTAGGGGAACATGATTACAGAATCACACATCACAGGAAGGGGCAGTACATTAGGTGTATACATTGTAGGAAGGGGATCTATGATAGGCATAACAGTAACTGGAAGGGGATGAGCTAGGGGTGTGCCCATAGGAATGGGAAGGTCTAGGGGTATACATGTGACAAGATGGGTGGACCCTGGATTCATGGTGGCAGCCTAACCTTGGTCATCCTTGGGCGGGTTTGACCTCTAGTGTCTCCTACAAGGAAATAGACAACTACTATCCTTATCAGAAGGGAGTGGGCTCTACTTGTGGGATAAACAGTAGTGTCTGCCTGGTCTAGGTGGCTGATATTTCTCAGGGAGAATGACCCCCAATCCACTCCTGATGACCTACAAGTGTACAGTCATTCTCAAGCAGCTAAGTCTGGTATATATTTGGGGAAGACAACTTGGGAGAAATCCTTCTGTTTCCCACAGTTTCTATCTAACTTTTCACCTTGCTGTTGTCAGCTTGATTCCTTATAGGTAGTTCTTAGGAGAGCATATTAGTCAAGGCAGACTTATTTTACTACGTTTAGCTAAGCTTTGTTTTCAAGGAATACTTTGTGGCTTAAATTTTAGATGATCTCAGAGCAATACTTGAGCATTTCATCTAGCCCCTGTGGCTCCAGAAAACCCATGAGAATTGGAATTCTGTTTCCCCTTTGATCAGTGTTTTAGAAATAGAGTCTTTGATCACAATGTTCAGTAATGATAGGCACCATGTAGTTCTTTAGGTCTTAAGGCGGTGGAGACAGTTGGTCACACATTCCATATCCTGCTCCTGTTCCTGTCTCTCCTGTTGCTCTAGGCATGGAAAGACCACTGTCAGGGCTTTTCAGACCCCAGGTACTAAACATGTCTGACAAATTTTTATGGAATAAGGCTGTATGATACAAAAAGAGGGAAGTGACGTAAAGCAAATTCTCTTCTAAAGAATTTGTCACCTACCTTGGGCTTAAGTGTACATATGACTATAATGCAATAGAAGTGCCATGAGAGAAGAAAAGCAAAGTGTTCTGAGAGTTTAAAATGTTCTTTTAAAACTAAAATAGACGATCTCTTACTGGAGACGGTTTGCTTCACTCCAGAATCATTGTGTGTGTAGGTAATTTTTTTCTTTATGTTTTATTCACTGGTAATTTTTATGAGGTGCTGAATTAAAAAATGTTTTAGATGGCAGTTTGAAGCTGTATATAGAATACCCAAATGTGACATCATTTCCCTAATAGTTTATGATCATCCACCTAAAGAACACCTGCTAATTCAGTGTAATTTAAAGATAGCTTTATAATAGCCAAGAACCCTGGTGATGCATTGGGCTGCAAACTGCAATGTCAGCAGTTCAAAACTACCAGCCGTTCTTAGGAGAAAGATGAGACTTTGTTCTCCCGTAAAGAGTTAACAGTCTTGGACACTCGCACAGGTGGTTCTGCCCTGTCCTATAGGGTCATTATGAGTCAGTGTGGACTTAATGGCAGTGAGTTTGGTTCGCTTTTTATAATGGCCTATTTATAAATAGTTGGGGTCTATTTTCAAGTGCTAACAGGTGAAGTAGAATGCAGAGTAGAAGTGACCGCTTTGGAGTACGCATTTATTACTCTGTGTCTTATGGGAAGTGAGGGACAGGCCAGTAGACACAGAAGTTTGCAATAAATGACCCTAGAGGACCACAGCTGACCTCCTCTGGCTCTCATAGTGCCGTGAGGCAGGGCTTCGACAGGCCTCCAAGGTCCATCTCTCTACCAATTCTGTCATCAGCTGCTCCTCCCAGGCCACCCTATCTGTGCCGGCTTTGATAATTTATTGCATTGACCACATAAAACTCACATGCAGTATTCACACTTAAGGTGCTTTTTAAGGGAAATTACCATATATACGCATGTATAAGCTGAGGTTTTTCAGCACATTTTTAGTGCAGTTTTGTGGTAAAATTAGGTGCCTCGGCTGATATTCTGGTTGGCTTATACTCGAGTATATACGATAATAGGTTACCTCAAGTCAGAATCATTAAGTAGTAAGGATACAGTCATTTGCCTCCTCAGCCAGCAGCCAAGTCTTCTGCAGTTCTTAGCCTCTCAGCCACATAGACCCTTGGCCTTTGCCTCCTCAGGCCATGAAAGGAGCCCACCTGTCACTCTATCGCACAGTTCCATGGTCTGGGGCCAGATAAGGAGAAGGTGCCCCATAGTCTCAGTGGTGCTGTGTCTCTGAGTCTCTGGGCCACCCAGTCTGTGGAGCATCTGGTCTCTGGCCTTCACCACTTCATACAGAGATTTTCAGTGTGATTTTCCAAGGTCCTCTGGGCTTCTCTCTCCTGCTGCTTCAAAGATGGCCCAGGGGATGGTAATGAAAATTCACTAATCCCTTCTCAGGGTTACATATGCCCTATTTGCATACCCCCCCACCCCTTGTTATTGGGTGAGCCTTACTGAGACTTGGGTAGAAGAGGCATACTATAAATTTTCATTACACAACAAAATTATTTTCCTCAACTCTTGTTTCTACCTACAGTCTCTTAATTTGACAGTCTTTGAAGGGAGTCACTCTATGCTCAGGGTGAGCCAGAGGCTGGAGAGATGATGCCTTTAGGCAAATGGTAAACAATTGATAAACTCTGTTTTAGTGTATGACTTTTTTTTTTAAATGGAAAATATTATAAATTATATTTTCCCTTTAAAATTATAGTTATAGTTTAAAATGATAATTATTTAAATGTTTAAATACTTTCTCCTTTTCAGGAAGAGGAGAAATTAATCCAGCAGGAACTGAGCAATTTGAAAGTGACCGTTTCTGCTCCTACTACAACACTGGTAAGTTTGCATATCGGGACCACCCCGCCTTCTATGGTGGCTCTTGCCACAAAGTCATTTCTGTCACAGTAACATCAGTTTTGTCGGCCTTGTAGTACCAGACACAGGACGTGCCTAATTGAAGCACTGAAGGATTGTCCGGCAGTTAGATTTTTAAATAATTGGAAAGGCTTGCGTCCTTTCTTACACTTAATTCACTGCCATTGAGTTGATGCTGACTCCTAGTGATCTACAGGACAGGGTAGGATTTCCCCCGAAGCTTCTGAGAAGGTAACTCCTTGTGGAAGGACAATGCCCCATCTTTCTCCTGGGAGCAGCTGGGGGTTTCGAACTGCTGACCTTGTAATTAGCAGCCTAGTGTGTAACCACTACTCCACTAGGGCTGCTTTTTCACACTAAAATAAAGATACATAAGAACATGCACCTGTTCCAGCTTACCCACAAATTTGACTTAAAGGTACACTTAAGAAGGGGTCGTATTCTGAGTGCTGGGACTGAAATTTGATGATTTGGCTGAATTACTCTAGTAGCTTTTGTTTTCTCATTTTCTTAATTAGTAGTCTTAAAATGTGTTAGTTAATTCATGTAAGTGACCTGTATTAAATCTTATTCCCACAAGTCTTCTTATGGGTTCTTTTAAAAAACTCTTTGTATCTATGATGGGCTTTCAAAATGTTTCTGGAATATGGAATTAAAAGATAATAGAATATTTCCATGAATTTCATGAAGCCCTTCCATGTGTCACTCACTGCCATCGAGTTGATTCCAATTCATAGTGACCCTCTGTAGGGTTTCCATGGCTGTAAATCTTGATGGAAGCAGACAGCCTCATCTTATTTCCCCCAGAGTTGCTGGTGGATTTGAACTGCCAACCCTGTAGTTAGCAACCCAGTGCTTACCTGACAGTACCGCCAGGCCTCCTTTATTATCCTTTCTTTAAAATATTTAACTCTTTACTGAACCATCATGCCCCTTAGAGGATAATATTTATGACAGTTTTTTTTAAACCTATAAAGCAAATTATTGCTTGTTATACATAGTATAACTCTGAAGGAAGTATAGGTGCAATTTGATTTTTCTATGTGATAGAAAATATCTGTTGCAGAAATTATCAACTTGTGTGAATTTATGGATGTTTTAATTTTTGATGTCACATTTTTGAAGCCAAAAGAAAGCACCATCGATGTGATTTTGTCCATATGCCCCAGAGCACAATAACTAAATTTTACAGTAGGAGTAGATAGAATTATCAGTAGCTATAGTTAAATTCTATGAGCCCTGGTGGCATAGTGGTTAACTGTTGGGTTGCTAAACACAAGGTCATTGGTTCGAAACCTCCAGCCACTCCTCCGGAGAAAGTTGAGGCTTTCTACTCCCCATAAAGAGTTACAGTCTCGTAAAGCCACAGGTGCAGTTCTACCTGTCCTAGGGTCACTGTAAGTGTGCGTCAATTTGATTCCATGGCAGTGAAGGGTTTTTTTTAATAGCTGAATTATTTTATAGTGTTGCCACCAAGAAAATATTAAACTACCAGTGAAATAATTTTCTAAAATTAATACTGTTCATAGTTAAGTTCAGGAAAAACTGGTATACAGTATACACATTCTGGAATGGTGTAATTATTTTATAATACAATCTTCGGTGGTAGGATTACAAGATTGTCCTACTAAATGATTACAAAACAAAACATTCTCTTTATTTATACAGTTACTACATGTTTTACTTTGTAGAAAATGATGAAGGAATGCATGGTGAGACTAGCATATTGTGAGATGCTTGGATATGATGCATCTTTTGGCTATATACATGCAATCAAGTTAGCACAACAAGGAAACCTCTTCGAAAAAAGAGTAGGTATGTATGTGTTCTGAGACTTTCATATTTTAATGTCCTTAGAGTTCTAACTAGTGTATAAAATGAATGAAAGTAGGTAATAGATTGTTTCAAAACACCTGTGTTGTAATTTCCAAAGCTTTAAAACACTTCAAAGATTCAAAACCTATCAAAGAAATCGGTTTTCCTAATTCATAATATTTTAGCATTATAGAGATGATTAAAAATGATCAGATCTTGGGATGGTTGTTCTATATCTCTATATATTTGTGAAAACTCATTGAGTTGTATACTTAAAATGGATAAATTATATTGCCTGTAAATTACTTTAATATAGCTGGTTAAAAAGTCTGTCTAACCTCTTCAGTTTAAAAGCCAGAAATGTTTCTAAATAGAATAAAACTGAAATCAAGTGGAACAATTAAAATATTTTTTTCTTAATTTCATGAAAGTTAGTTTTGAGGATTAAAAGTATCTTTAAAAAATTTTTGTCTTTGATTTCAATAGCCTTTGTGACTGTTAGGAAAAATCCTTTCAAGGACTCTTTATATGTTCAGCATCGCATCACAATTCCCAGAAAGAAGGATTGTAGAAGGAGTAGAACATGCTCCTTATTGAAAACTAGAAGTTGACAACGGTCAGGTTGTTAGGGACCAACATTCTTCCACTAAATATATTGACCTATGCTGTAGGTGAAGGGTCCCTTGATAACGATTCTGAGACTCTGTGTACTGTGTTCCACTTAATGATTCTCTACTCCACCCCAAATGCTCTGCTCTCTCCTTGTTTTGGTTGCCAAGGAGGCAAGCCCCACTTATGTCAACCCCAAGTACAACAACAGAACACTGCCAGGTCTTGCACCATCTTGTCTATAGGTAGCTAAGTTTTATTTTTTACTCCAAGTAGAATGCTTTCTAGCTCTGTGAATACTTGAGGTGACTCCTATCATGTGTTACCATTTAGCACAGGTGGGGAATCTTTTTTCTGCCAAGAACCATTTGAAAACTTATAGCATCATTCTCAGTCCATCCTGGTTAAATTACTCTCCTCTAGTGTGATGGCTGGAACTACTTCTGTTTGATGAAGCCTGTGTTATTGGCTGGAATCGATGGTTTCCCAGTCCTCTTACAGCCTGAGGGCCAGATGTTCCCCACCCCTGCTTTATGGGGATGTCTTCTTAATGTCTGAGCTCTCAAACTAATTTCAAAATAAACAAAGCAAACCCAATCCCCTTGCCAGGACCCTTAAAATGAAGCGTTTGAAAACCTTACCATCAATAACCATGAACTGATTGAGTGGTGGTGATTTTTTTTGTACAACTGTTGACTGTATTCTGCTTCTGAGGCTTACATGTAATTTTTAAAAAATCAATTAAATTTGTTTTTGATGTAAATTTTTACATGGTTCAAAAGTTAAGAATTTATAAAAGAGTATGATCAGAGAAGTCTCACTGTCATATTTATCATATCTGTCTAGTTGTCCCCTATGTATTGAGCCTTAAGTATAACTTTTTATTGGCTTTATTCAAAGAAACAAGCCAGTGCTCACACACAATTATAGACTCTTTTTTTTTCAATTATAGACTCTTATGTAAAAAGTAGCATATTATATTATATTATCGTATTATATATCGTATGTCATTTGCACTTTCGAAAGCACACTACGATAACACACAACCTGAGATAGCCAGAACTCGACGAGACGCCTTTCCAACTCCGTCTTGACAAGTGCAGTATTAGCACATCCTCTCACTTGTTTTGGTGAAGAGTATTGTAGCTTTCTTTCTCTCACGGGCGTCTGCCTTCCATAGATTCTAGCTGGCACAGATTTTACTCTATAAGACTGTTTTACACCCGGTTGTGACAGCTCATTGGTTTATATGTGGATTTGCATAATATTCCATTGGTTGGGTTCATTATGGTTTGTTTGTTTGTTTTTAAACTATTGTAGGATATATGAATTATATGCCAGTGAAACTGTTTAAAAATATGTATTAGCGGAAAGAAAGAAATTCAGGTACTAGAGAATTCTTATATTTTATTGCCAACTAGGAAGACATCTGTAGGTATTAGATTGTCAGAAAGTTCATTTTCTGGGAAACTCCATTATCTTTTAACTGCAGTTTCCCACAGCCTTTTTGAGGCCTCCTTGTGCACACAGCAGAACATGGACCCCTCGGTGGTCTCTCCACGTGCAGTTGTGGGATGTGACTGCATGCTCCGACGTGCACAGCCACACTCACCCTCCTTTGTGAGCTATCCGGCCCCTGGTAACATCAGCTGTCCCTTAAGTTACCTTGCTTGTCTTTTGTGTAATCCCTGATTTTGAAAGACTTCAGGATGAAGACCATCTAACTTAGCGAAATGTTCTACATCTCTTATCTCATCATTTATTTTTATATTTATCTGTACTTTATTTCTTTGTTGCTTAAAAATGGTTATATTTTGTCATCTGTGTAGCTTCTTGTGAAAAGGTGTATTGTTGGTAAATAATAATGAAACCTTTATCATTGACTTCTATAGGTTATTTGGCTGTTTCTCTATTTCTACACGAAAATCACGAACTGTTGCTTCTCCTTGTGAATACAGTTATCAAGGTACTGTATTCTGGGGGGGGGGGTTACTGTGAAGTTTAATTCATTCCAGTAGGCACAGACATTTCTTCACAATTATATTGAGCTAGACAGTTAATTTGGAAGAAAGTGGGGTCAGAACGAGCCCTTAGACCAGTTTCTGTGTCTGTAACTGCTGCTGCTGTTGTTATTAATGCTTCATCGAATGAAGCTCTACTTGTAACCTGTTGCACTTTCTATCAGGCTGTTGTCTTTTCTCTAGAATCTGTTTAATGAAATGTAGATATAAATAGAATCATTGAAGACTATACATTTTAAGACCCTTTAACAAAAGAGAAAATAGTTGAGTAATGAAAATATACAGATAATAAAAACCAAATTTTGTCCATACTCAGCAATATTTTTTGCTAAATTTTCAAGTAACAATTAATAATGAAGTGTAATTGATTGTTCTAACTTTCATGAGGTATGATCAAGTTACAGTCTTTTGATATATGTGTATATAGTATAGTGTATAAAATAGTACGGTATAATATTTCTAGGAATTTTCAAGATCATACGTTTATGAGCTTAAGTTTTTCCAAACATTGCAAAGCCTGTTTTCAGATTCTGTTACACTTATTTATAAACTATGTGCATTCATCATCAGACTTGATCAGAAAACATTCATAAGGGTCAACAGAGCCTAGAATTTTTTATAGGCCCTCCTTCCCCTCCCCCCAATGTTTATCTTTATAAGATAAGCAGGATAAACAATCCCAAGGTGAAAACAATGGGCCAATGGTTCCGGGGTGCATGGGAGAAGGGGAGGTAGGAGAAAGGGATGGGGGAAGCCAACAAACCCAGGAACGAGAGAACAACAAGAGATCTAAAATCGATGGCAAAGATCAGTTGTAGAATGCCTGGTGGGGTTTGATCAAGGGCAATGTAGCCGAGAGGAATTGCTGAGCACTGAATGAAGGTCGAACATGATAGTGGGACAGGAGGAAAGTGAAAGGAAATAGAGGGAAGAACTAGGATACAAAAGATATTTATTGAGGTATAAATATAGGCATGTATATATGTAAATGCATTATTTATAATGATAGGCATATAGGTGTAGATACATACATTTATATGTTAAGTGTCCAGGTAGCAGACAGACATTGGGCTTTTATTCAAGTCCTCCTTCAGCACAAGAACACTTTGTTCTAATAACCTGGCATTCTGTGATGCTCACCTTCCCAACACGATCACTGAAGTCAAAACGGGTGCATAAGCAAATGTGAAGAAAGCTGATGGTGCCCCGCTATTAGAAGATAAAGTGTCTGGAATCTCAAAGGCTTGAAATTAAACAGGTGGCCATCTAGCAGGGAAGCAACAAAGCCCACATGGAAGAAGCACACCAGCCTGTATAATCAAAAGGTGTCGACAGGATCAGGTATCAGGTATCAGAAGACCCAAAACAAACAAATACACTGATGCAAATGATGGGGGTCATAGTGGACATCCCCTCACAGAGGGGTCACAAAGAAGGAACGAGCCAGCCAGGGTGCAGTATAGCACTGATGAAACATACAACATTCCTCTAGTTCTTTAATGCTTCCTCCCTCCTACTATCATGACCCCAGCTCTACCTTACAAATCCAGCTAGACTCCTCAGGAAGGAGTAGCAATATCATGAGGGTAGGGGGAGAAGGAGGAGAAAGGGAGAACTGATTGCGATGATCAATATATAACACCACCCCCTCCCCAAAGAGGAACGAACAACAGAAACGTGGGTGAAGGGAGACAGCAGATAGTGAAAGATATGAAAATAATAATAATTTATAGTTTATCAAGGGGTTGGGAGAGCGGAGGAGGGAAGGAATAAAGAGGAGCTGATACCAAGGGCTCAAGTAGAAAATGTTTTGAAAATGGTGCCAACATATGTACAGATCTGCTTGATACAATGATGTATGTATGTAAGAGCTGTAAGCGCTCCCAATAAAATGATTTATATATAAAAAACTGCATATATAAGTATATATGAATGCTTGTATTTCATTAGATATGATCTGGTGTAACTTCCTTTGAAACTTCCATTCATATTATTGCTGATTAAGGAGTTTGAAAATAAAATTGTTTTATTACTGGTCCAGAAAAGTTTTAAAGGCTGTAGTCAGGAAACTATTTTGGACAGTCTCCAAACAAAGTTAGTAGACTGGTACTAGTCTATAGGACCAGGACTTTGTTGAGCTTACCACCTTAGTTTCAGCAGCTAGAGGGAAAGCTTCCTTTGCTCTCATTCGGCAGGACTTGCAGAGTACCAACTTGGTGGAAGTATGTATGGCACTTACAGTCATCAGCCAGATCTTTCCTCGAGAAATGATTCCAGCTGTTCTTCCATTAATAGAAGATAAACTACAGCATTCTAAGTAAGTGTACTCTTTTTGGATCCGTTTCTGTACCATGTATTTCAAAGCAGAATATTTGTTATGCTCTAATGCTGTTAGGGTAGAGACTACACCCACTCCTCATTTATTGATGTGACGGTGCTGCAAAGACCAGGCAGGCGTGCGGAAATTACCGCCTTGTGAACTTCAGTGAGCAAAGGTTCCAATGGCGCTAGGAATGCTTTAGAGGTGGCTCTTCAGGACTTCTCCCTGCCCTGCAGCTTCCTGCAGCTTGCTAGTCACAGTAGTTTGGATGGACTGGACAGCCTGGGTTGGCTGTGCCTTTTCAAGCTGCGACCAGAGCGAGCAGGAGGGAACTGCCCCACCTCGACCCACACAGAGTCTTGTTTTTCTACAGAAACACCCACTCAACTGCAGTCCACGGGCCCCACTGCCCCAAGTGCACAAATGGCTGACTCTGTGGCCTAGTGACTCCTCCACGTCCTGTCTGTTCCCCTCTCCCGCTTTCTCCTAGACCCTCCCAGACATGCAGTCGGAAGCCACCAACCTGTGATCACAGCTGAGCAGGCCTGGAGTCCAGCTCCCCCACCACCCCCCTTTTTTTGTTTTTCATTCAATGTGGGAGATGTGGGAGGGAAGGCGTCCCTTACCTGGCTTCAAGGTGTTTTAAGTAGATTTGCAAAATGTTGAGTAACAAGATAGTTGCTTAGTGAGTAGATGTATTCACTAACTGCCATATATAATGCAGATTTATTTTTATGTGGATTTGGGACAATGTTAGGCTCCTTTCTAAAGATAAACAGAGACAGTGAGGCTCAGGATCAGGAACCCGGGCTTTCTTCCCAGTTCTACCACTAACAAGCAGTGGTCCTGTTTTTCCCTTGACTTTGTGGGGTTGCTGGAAGCTCCTTAATTCTTCTCGCAGAGTTGTTTTGAGGATAACATGGGATAATGGAAAACATTTGGAAATGGTTCAGATACCGTGAGTGCAAAGCTTTGGTGTATTGGGAAGATCCTTTAGTCTTAAAAGCACAGTGTTCAATTTCTGTTTGGAGCAGAATATATCCAAGTAAACATTAACTTGTAGTGTTTTGCTAATCTTTTCTTCTAGGATTCCTTAACTGTGCCCTTACCATCTTGACTTACATTTTTACCATACTTTGAATATTACTTTATTTTCTCACCAGATTTGGAATTATTTGGTTTGGATAAAGCCCTTTAGTCTCATAATTGTTAAATCTTAGAAACACTTTGCAGTCATTTTCCATTTTTCCTTTGTGACTATAATATATACATTCTTGATAAAGAATATTTTTGTTATTCATACTACATTTGTTTAATTCATGTGCATCTCTTAGAGCTTGTGTTCTTTAGGAAACTTTGGGCTGTGAGTCTTTAGCTAATGTGATAGTATTTACTGCGTATTATAGTCTAATGACATACTTTTTATAATCTGTTTATGTTTAGTCTGTGTTTGGAACACAAGAGGAATATAGACTTGGAAAGGAAATATTTACTTGTCTTACTTAGATCATTATAGCCAGCAGCATATTTGTCAATAGCTTTTCCTCCCCAATGTTCTTCTGTGGTGGTAACACACACGTAGGCCCTGTATGAAATCCTTTAGAGAGGTTTTCTTCTGCCTCCCATCTACTGTAGTTTCATCCTTGCCTCCTTTCTTTTCCTTGGAGTTCAGACTCTTGAAACCCTGCTTTTACTGTTAGCGGCATTCCCAGCTTCATGCTTCTGGAATAAAGCGCTCTAGAATAGGGGACAGAATGTGGATAGGCCAGTAGCTGTCACAAAGAGGATGGCTCGGACTTGCCTTTAAGTCCCTGTCCATGTTTGAGCAAGCCAGAACCAGAGCCAGAATCCAGTTCTTCTGGTGTCTTGTGAGGTACTGCCATTTGACCCAGGCTTATGGATTCCTGAGCCTGTCAGAGTTTGTGTTTTCCTTCCTCCTCAGTCATTTGCTTACTGTCTCGTACTGGTTAGCAACCAGTGACGTTCGTCGAAGAACAGCTCCTTTAGCATGAGGATGGTAGAGACTTCACTACTGAAGAGACTAGTGTGACTAGTCCTCTTTTTTCTGATTTCAGAAGTCAGATATGGTTGTTACACCTGCCCTCCCCCCACCGAATTTCCATGGCTACACAAATAGACACGAGACTTCAGTAATCTTTTTTTCACTTATTCAAGATTTACACCTGTATTTAGAGAGATACAATTAGTGTTTACAACTCCTAGTTCAAAGTTCTGTGCTGTTAGCAATACATCATGTTTTTTACTCATGAAATTTGATTCTAAAGGAAAACCACAAGTCAATACACCTCGGTGGAACACCTTTGGACCAGTGAGTAACTCGGAATTCAAGCACATTACTATTGAGTCAGTGCTGACTCATACTGACTCTAAAGGACATCTTTACCCTTGGGAGTTTCTGAGACTGAAATTTTTTTTCAAAGCCATTTTATTGGGAGCTAATACTGATATCATATCATTCTATAGTTCAGTCACGTCCAGCAGTATTGTACAATTGCTACCATAATCAGTGTGAAAACATTCTTTTCCTTCTTGACATCAGCTCCCTTTTACATCCCCCTGTACTGAAGGAGACTTTAGTAAGTTTGTGGGAAATTCCCTGTCTTTCAATTCCGTGAATTTTTTGGAGATCCTTCACATACATGGAGAGGCAAGTCATCTGACCGCTTAGAGATGATAATGACATAGCAATCGTAAGGTTGTAGTCATTACTTTGACCTCAACTGGGCCATAATCTTGGAACTAGATACTGATGATTGGGTTGTTAAGATTTCATTTTTTGTCTTTAGGGAGATCATACGGAGAAAAGCTGTTCTGGCATTATACAAATTCCATCTCATTGCTCCCAATCAAGTGCAGCATATCCATATTAAATTTCGGAAAGCACTCTGTGACAGAGATGTTGG